AAATATATATTATATTATATAATATTCATAGATTAAATAAAATATAAAAAAGATTTAATTAAATATATTTCATATAATTAAAATTAAAACAGAGAATTCACAAAAATGCAAATAGTCACAAATTATTACATTTTATATAACAAAATTATTATAACAAATAAAAAATAGAAAAATTAGTAAATTTTGCATAATCGAATGTATAATATATAATATCAATGCGTATAATGCGTATAATTGATACATACATCACAATATACAATCGATATGAATCAATTTATTCTATCTCTTATTAAATTCCATTTTTGAATTAATAATTTTCAAATTATATATTTTCTAATAAATTATATTAATAATCACGATTCAAAATATACTATCTTAAATAACAAAAATATTTTTCTAGTTATATTTTATTATTTGTATAAAAATTCACTTTACATATATTTAACATACATTTAACGATGTTTCATCGCATGTAACATGGGGTTAGGTTAGTATAGAAAACGTACTCTGATTCATTTCAGGCGACATTTCAACTAAAAATATATACTTCCATAACTAATATTACTTTTCCATCAATGTTTCTATAACGTCATTTATGATAAGTATCTCTTATCATTAAATATCATTCTTTACCAAGGTTAATTACCGATCTATAATAAATAGCAATGTATGTATGAGCACCGAATAAATAAAGGAATGTTTAAAGAAAATATGTTGATATTTTGAGAAACTTTAAAGTATAATTCAAGTCACAAGATTAACACAATAATAAATAAACATCAGGTAAGCTTGGAAAAACGATAAACACTTTTAAAACACAATTTTACTCACTTTTCCAAGAAAGAAACCGCCACTCAGCTGTAACACGTGCTGTCATTACAGGTGCACGACCACGCTCCGCGGCCATCTTGTGGCAATTCCTCGAAACACTTGAGACACAAGATATTTGAATATTAGTGAAATAATATGTTATACTATATTTTCATTAATTCAATAAAGTTTTATATTTCAAGAAAATATACCTTATTTATTATTCTAACACATAATCTATATTATTCCTTCATACAATAAATAAAAGAATAAAAATATTTATGTATATGTGGAGATGTAAAGTAAATGACTTTATCAAAATTAGAAACAAACTAAATTATAATTTAACAATAAATAAATTTTTAAATTTATATTCATATGAAAGAAATTAATAAATTTCCAAAGAATTATGAAAAACACATTTTATAAAAGATTTGACATATAATTCGAATTTTCGTATCATTTCCAATATTACCGATGTCGACATAATATTCATAATCAATTCATATGCATTATAGAATTACATACAGATTAAATTTATTGATATTTATCAGAAATAAAATTTACAAAAAATACACTCTTATAAGTAATAATTTCTAAACTACAAATAATTTAAAAATATTTCGACGACAATCAGTAAAGTGAAAAATTCTAAAACTAATTTTAGGCTTAAAATTAATACATACCCATTTTACATAAAGTAATATAATAAATTATACACAATAACTTCAATAATTGATGAATATGTATAAATATTTTAATTTATTCACAAAAGTATTCAATATGTCATAATCATGAAGTACGAACACTCATCACTCTGAACTACACTACTACTCTAGTTCGAGAATCGAAAGCGGGAAAGAATGTACTTCCCTCTATCGACTATTTGAAATACTAATAGCAACATAATTTTTTAATATTTTATAAAATTAATAAATATAAATAATTAAAATAAAAAATATATTATTCATTTAATAAATTAAAAAAAAAAATAAATAAATGTATGAATATATTAATAAAATTATGAAATTACATTTTTATATATGTATTACAATGTCAATATTTAAATTTATAATTTTATGCTTATAATACATATAAATAAAAATGAAATAAATATATATCTAAAATATGTAAATATTACTTTAAAATTATTACTGTTTATATATTTTATTAAAAATAAATAATTATTCATAATGATTTTATTATTTTTGAAAATTTTAATTAATAATTTAATTTTAGTGAAGTATGAAAATGCAAGAGAATGCAATACAATATAGATAAAATAAAATATAGTAAAATTATATATTATAAATTAAAATATTTTATTAATATGAAGTTAAATATTTTTATGCCAGAACATGTTCACAAAGTTCGCTTATGGTATGTTAAATTTCTCAATGTGTACAGATGTACTACATTATCAACATACATCGGTATTGTAATTCTTGATACAAAATTAATTCAAATATGATTATAAATTATAATATATAATTTTACCACAGATAAAATATGAAACAGATTTAATGTTTAATGCATTTTTTTATTCCATACCTGTATCATTCATAGGCATTATTTATTAAGTATTATTTATTTCTTTTATCATTTTAGCTTTATTTACAATATTACTGATTTGATTTAAAATAATATTGTAAATTGATATGTAAAAATAGGAAAATTAAAATTCAAAATAAATTTCGATATAAAATTACAAATAAGAAATAAAATATATATTCTGCCATAGAATATCTTATAATATATATAAAATATTACATTTTAAGTAATTGTATTTATGTAAAGTATCATAAAATAAATAAGTTCCACATTAGTGTTTATATTTTTTTTAATTACAAAAAGTTGAAAAATTTTTTATTGAATTTAAGAAACGAATAAATACATAAGTCAATTTTGTAATATTCGTATTGATGTAACAGTTACTATCATAATAATAATAGAAAATACAATTTAATAGAATAAAATATAAATAATTAAAAATATTACATATAATAATAAATAATAATAAACCAAATTATTTTAGTTTTTAGTGAAAGATACACGAAGAATATAATATAATATAGTTGTGACGATAATTAAATATTCGTTCTCTAATTTTGATATATTATGTGATTGTAAATATAATTTACCTATGATAGTTTTAATATTGTGAAAGAATTAGTAATATTTTTATTACATAACTAAAAATAAATAAATATTCATTCATTTTATTTTATTTATTTACTATTAATTTATTAAAAAATATTAATTTAATTATTAATTTATTAAAATGTTAAAGTTGAAAAATAACATGTAAATTTATAAAATTTCTATTGTTTTAAATTGTTAATTAAATCTTTTAATAAATAACTTTATTACTGTAATTTATAAATTTATATTTCAAATAAGAAGATTTGTATTGTTATTATATTGGAACAAATTTGGAATAAATAAAATGTCAGTTTCTGATACTGAATGGGTAAATATCAATTATTATATATATATGAAATTTTAGTTCCTTTGTTTATATATTAATTATATTTTATAATTTTATAGAATGAAATGTTAAAAGTTGCTAAA